CGTCAGGAGGTCAGTTGTTCTTCAGGAGATAAGGAGATGGTCGTCAGGAAGTAAGACATTGTTCTTCAGGTAAGAATTTCGTCTTTTAGTATTCCCACGTGCAATTTGTAACTTACAATTTGTAAATGGATTTTGTAAGGTACAAACCGTAAGTACCTATATATATATACATACATATATATACATATATATCTATTTATCTGTTTATCTATCTATCTATCTATATACATATACATATATATTTATATATCTTTTTCAAACAAGAAGCTAGATGTGTCTAGTAACATATTTCAATAAACTATATCACTATAGACTAATATATAAAACTCTATCCTTTTCTAATATAATAACTGTACTAACTTTCCTACACTCATTCCCCCAAAAGGAGTTGCTGGGGCGCCGATCCTTGGGTGCGCGGATCCTACAGCACCTTGATCACCACCAGCGGGTTCAGCAGCGGCCTCTCCTCCAGGGCTGCTCTGAGGGCACCTCTCTACGCCGGGCGGAAAATGGTGGGTGTCCCTTGGCTGAGAACGGGGCATTATTGTCACCAACACTAACTCCACATTACGCACGCACGCACGGACTCACACACACACACACACTCGCAGTGACAATGAATGCAAAGTCAATGAAGAGATTTACCGTAGAATTATGAATCATGATACCTGTCTTTATTCTCAGTAGTAGCACGTTGTCAGCTAAAACTACCACAACAGACGCGATAATTTCCACCCCTTTCAATTCCTCGCAGGTGTTGCAATGGGCGGGCGAGCACACTAGCGACTTCCGGTTCAGCACCGTCGACGGCGCGATGGGCACTGGCGAGCGGGAAGCGAAGAGGCTCCTGAACACCCTACGTCTCCAGCAGGTCATGTGAAGTTGCACAGAGCGCGGGGTCAAAACTTTTTTTTATGGTGGTGGTGATGACTTTTCTTTGGTTGTAGATTTTTGGGTCGAAGATATTAGTAAAGCGTTTTGGTTAAATTGTGATTTATCTTTACTTCTCTATCTTTAAGTATCTGCCATAGAGCATAGAGCCTAGCTGGAACACGTACTGAATAGCTTGCATATACTAATATTACTAATGACTTAAATTTCCAAGATATGGGCATTTGGAGGACCACCTGAATGACACCCAAAAAATCAACCAGCTTATTCCGAAAGCTTACCATTTGAAATTACACCAGATTTGATGCTATCTGTCCCCAAACACATACCATGCATCAACCAGACATTTTGGATGGGGGTCGTGGTCAGACAGACAAAATTGGTAGTTTCATGAAAACGGGCTATGGTACCTCGACCACGTACTAAATGAAACTAATTGCAAGATGTTCAGTACGTGTCTATGTATCACACATTATCATCGACAGGCGTTTTGTGTGGTGGGCTACCCCTGCCAGACACCCTATTAGTACCCCACCCTAAAATTGGGCTAGGGGAGCTCACAAACATACCAAGTCAAATTTTATGTAGTGGAATACCCCTGTCAGATACCCCAGTTAGTACATGTTTCTGTGGCGTGTCACCCCTGTCAAACAGCAGATGTACCAAATAAACAAACTCCAGTATGTGTATTATTCATGCTTATTACAAATAATCAGTGGCATACAATGTAATGTCTCTTTGGGAATAAACCTTCACAACAAATTGAAGCGCCTTCTACTTAACTCTGACCTTTCTGAGAAGATTCTGGGTCTGATAGGATGAAACATCTACCTCGTCTCCGCCATGACTTGCATATTTTCTTTATATATATCAATCAAACATACAGCTAAGACTGACCGCTGTTGTTGTTTTTTCTTTTCTTTTTCTTCTTTTTTTTATTCTTAAGCTCAGTTTCAGTGTACGGACTCAGAGATTGAAAGGCCTTCCTATGAAAAGTGGATGGTCCATAGTTCTGTTCTGTTGACTGTAAAAAAGGACCAGTTTCCTTGTTGAACTCAGGACTTGTGGTTCTCCGCCTCTTTTGCTATGAGGTCGACACATGTTCTTACAAGACCCTCGAAACGTCCATTTATTGTATATTTAGCCCGCTAATGAAGTGACTGTACTCTGTAGCTACCTTTGTCAGTGGTTCTTCCACACTATTTTTTCGTTTCCACAAAGAGAGAGAGGGTGGGGGGGGGTTAGTTTAGTTTCATTACATTTACTTTTGGTGTGACATACTGTCTGTGTCCTTTTGCTTCTAAGTTATTACCTGTGTGCAAGGAATGGCTGATGTTACCATCCACTGGCGGCGGGAGAGAGAGATAGAGAGAGAGAAAGATGCGTAAAATTCTAACAAATGTTCCTTCCAAAATACCATCGACAATGTGAGGCTCGAATATTCCATGCGAAACTACATCAAGAAATAAAAGCTTTTTTGTAAGCTTTTGCAAGTATCCGGTAAAGAAATGTTTTCTATGCTTATAATCTGAAATAAGAGAAAACGAAAATTTTGTGGGCAACTTTAAATAATTCTGTTCTTAGTATGTGTGTGTGTGTGTATATATATTTTGTGTGTGTGTGTGTATGGGTGTATGAGTGTATGTGTGTGTATGGGTGTATGAGTGTATGTGTGTGTGTATGTGTGTGTGCGTGTGTGTGTGTGCGTGCGCGTGCGTATGCGTGTGCGTGTGCGCGTGTGCGTGTGTGTGTGAATGTGTGTATATGTGTGTGTGTGTAAGTGTGTGTGTGTGTTTTCTTACCTAGTTGTTTCAGTACGGGAGAAGAGCTAATATTTAAATCATCATATAACTTTTTAAATTGATGCACATTTTTGGCACACAACGATATTCGGAAGATTGTTTCATGTTTCAGTAGTTCTGTTTAGGAAACTGAACTTCTTGACATCTTTCTCGCCTCTTTTTACTTTCAACTTTTTTTCTGTGTACTTTCGTCCTTCTTGTGCTCAAAACTATAAAGCCATCTCTGTCCAACTTCACCCTTCCTGCAGTATAGTTGAACATCATTATCATGACACCTTCTTTTTCCTTTCTTCCAATGTAGTAAGACCTATTTTCTGTCGTCTTTCTTCGTAGCTCACATCTCTTAGAGTCGGTGCCCATCTTGTGTCTGTTCTTTGAACTCTTACTAGTTTATCTATATCCTTTTTTAAGTGTGGACTCCGCACCCCTGCACCATGCATAATACTAGGTCTTATGATGGCTGCAATGATCTTTCTTTACCATGCTTTCCTCCACATACACGAATGATCTCTTCATGTTGGCAATCAGCCCTAGAATTTTATGAACCTTGTCATTTATATGATCGTTTGGGCTTAGGTTCCCGTTTATGATTATTCCAAGGTGTTTTTCTTTATCTCGTTGGATTAATATTACGTCTCCTAACGCCTCTCTCAGTCGACTCAGCTGTAAATGAGTACTGATATGCTGATGTCAGCATGTTGGGGTCAAGGTCGGGGCGGAAAGGAACTGGCCATCCTACCGCATCATCCCGCGGCCTAGTAAGCATGTTTCTCTGCAAACATGTCCCCTACGTTCACATGGACGTGGGACCAACTTTGACTTTTGACTCCTAACTTGTACTGGTATAGTGGGGAGGAGGAGGAGGAGGAGGAGAATAGGGAAGAAGGTTTGTTCTTCTTCGAGGCCTTCGGGAAATACGACGAGGCTGATTGACTGTGATACCCCTGTAGCATGATTTATTGATTCTGTTTTGTTTTTATTTTTAATCAGTTATTATAGTGGTAGTATTAGCGAAAAATACAACTGAAATAATTACCAGTATTTTTTTTTCCATTTTTTTTCTTAAAATGACATGTAGTATATCTGATATAACATATACTTCAAGTAAATACCATATTAAATAGAAAATCTGGTAAGACTATATATCATGTATACAAATTGATTTATCAATATACTATCAAGTGTGTTATAATTCAGTCAATAAACAATTTTGTTCATTATCTTCATGTTCCAGATCTGATTAACATGCAATATTTCAACTTTATATTCATAGAAAGTAACATCACGCAAGCAGAACATATAAAACAAAAACAAACAGCTTTAATAGTAATTGAGAATTTTTGACACTGGAAATTGATATGGCACATTACAGTACTGCTTGTTAACTATTATGAAAATAAATTTAGTAAATTGGTAAATTTTCCACAAAAAATGGAGGAATACGATTGTGTCTTTCAATAAACGATATTTTATCATTTGGAAATACACAAAAAGGAGAAGATGAATCATATATTATCTCTCGCTCTCTCTCTCTCACACACACACGCACGCAAACTCTCTCTCACATCCACATACACATACACGCACACGCGCACGCACAAACTCTCTCTCTCTCAGCGACACTTGGCGGTCTTTACTGACAACCAAGGTGCTCACCACAGGCCCACTGCAATCCAAAAACATGGTAACTAGAAATATCCTTCACCAAAAACTAGACTACCACAACAGGGTATTCAAGTGTCAGTATACTGTTACTGGCTGTCTATGAAGGTCAGGTATGTTCCATTGAAAAGACGAAGAAAAAGAAAAATTATCTGGCATTATGAGAGTATTGCTGGGATATAGATAAACCCTATAAAGTCTATAATGGACGGTAAGGATAAGTCCGATATGCGAAGCTGAGCCTCGCCCGGGCTATGAGGGGAGCCTGGCCTGTGCCGACTAATGTCGACTCGCTAACAGTGTGTCAGCTGGTGCTGACTCGGATGAGCTTAGTCCTTACCCGCCGTGGTGCCCAGCCACAGCAGTGACCTCCAGGCGACAATTGCAACTTCTCGCGCCTGGGCCGGGCGCAAACCGCCGACCCCTTGGATGAGAGGCCGACACGTTACCAGTGTACTAGCCCGGAGGCTTAATGGACGGTTTCGGAGAAAACAGATTACAATGATTAGGCTACGCATTAGGATATCAGTGCACTATACAACAGCTATGGAGGCAAACTGTGAAAGGCGCCCAATTCGCATAATCTTACTCATTACTTACTTTGTTGCATGAAAACTGCATCGTATCGATCAAGCAGTACTGTCCACAGATTAGCAATTACTGATTGTATTCATTTGATTATATTCACTGGTCATGGTTTTTACGTGATTAGTTATATAAAAGATTTTTGCCAACCAGATGATATCTTAATAATGCAGAGACAATGGTATAGCACTTGAGGCATCTATATAACATTAATGTTTGACTGCTAGCCCTCTACACAAATTGAAGCACAGCCAGTTAGGATAGATTGTTAACTTACCCTGGCCTTCTGCAGGGCATGTACGCTGTTCTGGAAATATTTTTTTAAATCAAATTACTCTCTGTCTCTCTCTTTGTGTGTGTGTAAGATCTGTGTTTTCACATATCTGCCTGCTGTATATTGCATAGTGTGATAGTGTTCACATAATAACGAAGTCTGGAAGTGATAAAAAGTATAATCAGTAAAATTAAAAGTAGTGAACGGTCCTACACACTCACACACACACACATACACATACATACACACACACACACATATTCTGTGTGGCACCGTAGGCGACCCGTGTGTGTGACTGTTTATTTACAAAGGCCTCTGCTTGTTCAAGGAATCCGTACATATCTATGAGGGAGAAAGATGTATATTGTATAATGTATCTTTTAGCATAAACAAAGCTTGGACGAGTAAAACGAAGGAGGCCAAAGGGAAAATGTTCAACTAAAAGTTGAAAAAGTAATTACGACATACACAAAGAACAGGAAATGTGACTCAGACAGACCATGCCTGCGGTAAGATGAGATGCAGGATTTGAACTCTGTTGATATTGATATTGATTTTGGTAGAATAATGATTAAATTGATAATATACATTGATAATATACTAATAGGATTCACACACTCGCACGCACACACACACACACATATATGTATGTATATATATATATATATATACACATATCTATTTATCTCTCTATACACACACACATATATAACACACACACACAGACACACACATATATATATGCATGTATATGTATACATATATATATATATATATATATATATATATATATATATGTATATATATATATATATATATATATATATATATATATATATATATATATATATATATATATACGTGCGCGTGTGTTTGTGTACGCACACACACACACATATATATACACATACATATACATCTATATATGTATATATATATCATTTATATATATACATACACATCTATATATTTATACATATTTATTTATTTGTATATATATATTTATGTATATATATATTTATCTATTTATATATATTTATGTATATATATGTATGTATGCATACATGTATATATATACGAGACTAAGCTCGGTTTCCAGCCAGAGCTGATGGAAAATTGCAAGTCATCGTTACAACGCATAAGGTTTGCGAACACAAGGATGCGGCAAAACACATACGCAGATAAGTATACAGCATATATGTATATACATATATATATATATATATATATATATATATATATGCGTGTGTGTGTGTCTGTACACAAACAGACACACACACACACACACACTCGCACATATATATGTCTGTGTGTGTATATTATTCATATATGTATATATATATATATTACGTATATATATGTATATATATATATACACATATATGAGTGTGTGCGTCTGTGTATGTGTGTATGTGTGCGTGCGTGCGCGCGCATATATA